GACCGTAAACTGATGAATCACGACCGAAACTGATGGATCACGACCGTAAACTGATGAATCACGACCGAAACTGATGGATCACGACCGTAAACTGATGAATCACGACCGTAAACTGATGGAACACGACCGAAACTGATGGATCACGACCGGAAACTGACGGAACACGACCGGAAACTGACGGAACACGACCGGAAACTGACGGAACACGACCGGAAACTGACGGAACACGACCGAAACTGACGGAATACGACCGGAAACTGCCGGGACGCTACCGGAACAAGACCGTCAAACGCGAAAAATCGAAAGCCTGCACTGCGACTTGCCGTTTCAAGACGGTCCTGCAGAAAACGTTCGGCGAACCTAGCAACGCGAAGCGGAAAACGACAACCCGAAAATAAACTGACGACCAGGTGGCACTCTCTCGCAGGCTCCGCCAGGTACCCCCCTGACGACCACGTGGCTCCGCGCGGAGATGCCCAACACAATGTGGTCCAGCGGCAGACGCCCAGGTCCAGCCAGCGAAACCTTCGGGTACAGCCCCCCCAGAACCACTAGATTTTGCACACCTGGGCTGGGGAATGCGCAACTCGCAGGCTGAAACAATGTTTCAAACGAAAATGCCGTCGAAAAATGGCGGCGGTGTGCAATGGCATGATGAGGTTGCAGCTGCGGTGAATTAGAGGGAGGCAGTCTGCATGCATTGCGGCTGCAGCGTGGCGAGTGCCAGGCGGGCAAAGAAGGACTAACACTTGCATAAGGCTGTTGAAGCATTGGCGTTGCTGGCCTCACTTTCAGCAAGTAGGGGTGCAAATGCAGCGCGATGAAGAACCCAGGCTGACACTGATGCGATGCATGCGGGCGCGTGAGTCCTCCCGCGCCGTGGACGGCTGGTGCGGATGGCTTCATGCTCCGATGCACTGCTGGAGGAGTCATGAAGCAAGTCTGGAATTGCAGCCATGCCGTGAATATACCATCTCAAGTCAGCATGCACCCACCACTCGCTAGCTTGGAAGGATGCACGCTCGGTGGTGGTCAAAAAGGGCCACAACGTCTCGGCCACTGCGGGCGTGAGAAAGAAGCGATGCCGGGGACGCCGGCGGCACGTCATCAGGCACACTGCTATGCATGCACCAGGAGATGGCAAATAAGGAGTGCAAGCTAAGCTCGTCCAGGCATGCACAAAGCGGGCCATGCACGAAGTGTATGCAATAAGCAAATGAAGCCGTGCGGTGCGGGGTTCCATGGCGCAAAAAAGAGGGTTATACCCTGAAACATGACCCTTATGTGGCTTGAAGCAGGAAAACGGCCACGCGTCCGAAGATTCAATCAAGATTAAAACGTAAGGGAAAATGAAAACCCTAAACGATTTCCCCCTGACCAAGTGAAGCGTTTTAAGGGTTCAACAACCAATGCAGGCTCGCAAGGCGGGCCAAATCAAAGCATTGCACGAACCCATTCGCGAGTGCCATGGGCCGGCGCGCCAGGCAGGGCCTTTTGGCCTTTTGTGCGACCAACGGAATGGGACGTGAGATGTGTTGGCAGGTCATCAAACGAGCGCATTCAAAAGGTGCTTGGGTTTCCTTGCGGTTCCGTGACATATTCCAAGCGGGGGTCTTCCAGTTTTGGAAACACCCAGATATTGCGGATCCCGTCACCCTTCAAAGAGCTGGTTGATGCCAATTGCAACTGCAGGGTTGTAAAAAACATTCGTGGCCAGGAATCCTGGCTTCTGATTGCGAGGGATTGTCTCCCTTAAATGGGTCCTTGATGTTGTTTCAGCTGTCCCCAAATGCAGGGGATTCGAATGCCAGCGGCCTCGCTAATTGAGGATCCGCTCTGAAATCGATTCTTTTTTTGTTTCCGGGACTGATTCGGACTGATCTGTTTGTTTGGCAACCCTTTTCCGAGGAGGCCCTTTTGGGGGTGCTATGAGACCTGCTGCCACGTCTTAGGCGTTCCGCCTGCGTGTTTCTTGCGCTGCTCCTTCAGGCCAGGAGGGATCCGATCGATTGCTTTTCTTGGCCTAGCGCCCAGTCAACTGGGAAACAGCTAGACAAATTGGCCACATACCCACCAACAAGAATTTAGTTTCCTGTAGATTTTCCTGTAAATGGCTTCTTAAAATGCTTGTTGGTGAGAGGGTAGGCGACGTTGGCCTTCAGTCTGAAACTGCCCACGTCCGTCTCGGCCAGATGAAGGATTTTTCTTTGATTTTTGGGCGATTCCCACAAAAGGTTCGTGTCTCAAAATAGGGGACCCCCAACACTTCTTTACCCCAAAAAGGGTACCAACTCTACAAAAGACAAGCCCAAATGCCCCTGGTAATCTTTGCAAAAAGAAAAAAGGGTTCCAATCGTTGAGGCCAGGTTCGGCTCGCAGCCTTGGGAAACTTGCGCGACTTGAGTTTCCAAACTGGACACATGCGACGCTGCGGGAGACAACGAACGACCAGGGTCCACCTATTTTGACACACACCCACACACACTTGGGTAATAACGACAACCAGGTAATAATTGACAACCCTATTTTGACACTCATTATCACCATATCATGTTGGTAACAATCAGGAGGCATATTTAAGTTGTGGGAAAATCAAGTTCCACTAAACCCATAAACAGCTAAACTCACTTTTTGCAGAGGGGACCTGGCTTTGACATTTTTTTCTTTGCGCAGGGCGAGTCTCGTTTGTGTCCTGTTGCTTTGACCATTTGCTTTGCAAAGGGTAAGTCCGTTCGTGTCCTGTAGGGACTCCCTTCCTGTCCTGTTCCACGTGAATTGGTGGGGCACAAAACAGGACATGGGTATGGGTCAACATACCTACCAGGGCAACCCATTTTTGGGTTACCGCATTTTGACCACCACAGCCATTTTTTCGGCTATGGGATTGAAGATTCCAGAGGTCCAGCTCCCAATTTCTACCAGACTGGGGCCCATGGCGGATTGGCAGTTTTGACCCGGCGGCATGGGACGTCGAGCGTCTGTTGCGAGGCCGCCCTACGCCAGGCCGGAAGCGGCTTCAGCCAGGCAGGGGTCCTTCGCGGCTGCGGGGGGTTTTGCGGGGGTTTTCGGGGGTTCGGCGTGTTTTTCTTTGTTGTTTTGGGCATCGTTTGGTGTGTGTGTGTGTGTGTGTGTGTGTGTGTGTGTGTGTGTGTGTGTGTGTGTGTGTGTGTGTGTGTGTGTGTTTTTTTGCTTTCCTTTTTTGGGTTTCTTTTTTTTTCATTTTTTTTTCTCCCTGTCTTTTTTGTTTTTATCGTGTGGTCCCGGGCTTCATTTCTTTTTCAAGTGGCAAAGAACCAGAGTTCGGACCTTTGGGCTCCACTTAGATCAGAAGTGCGTGTAAGAACAAAGGTGGAGCTGGTAGTGAGAGTCAGTTTTGTCGGTGTGGGACTGGATGGCGGATCTTCCATGCATGTGCTTTTGGGGAGCAATCCATTTTGACCGTGGTTCAAAACCTTGATGACCATGTTGGGTTTTGAAGCGCAGATGTTTTGCTTTGTTCCCATGAATGCCACCCTTTCACCGACTGGCGCAGCCGCTAAGGAGTAGAAAGGCTTCGAGACAGATCTCACCCGAATCGGCTTGGGGATTCCTTCTTGTTCTGCGAGTCATAGTAAAGTTTGCCCAGGTAGGGTGTTTGCTACAGATAGGTGTATCTTCTGTGAGGCTACACGAGCTTTTGGTTGTTGGTTGTTTAGAGGGAAAAGGGACACCCGGTGACTTTGGAGTACCGCTGTTTGGAGACAAACCCAAATGGGAAGCACCGTGCAGTTTTCTTTTTGGTGGCTGAGTGGGGGGATTCCAGGTCAGACATCAATTTACGAACCTCTCAAACCTCTGCTTTCAAGAACATCTAAGATCTAAGTCCTGGAAAAAAAGAACAAGACGCCTTGTCCCGTCGAAGCCTTTTCAGAGGCGGTGCCCGATAGCACGACAAAATTGCCCAACAGCCCAAGAACCCAACCAGCCCAACAGTCCAACAGCCCAGCCCAACAGAAAACAGACACACTTTCATGGCGCAGGGGCACCACCTCGCCATTGTTTTTTTCGTCGCGAGGCCACGCAAGTGAGATTGCCGGGCCCTCGCGACTTGCGACTCGCGCCCGAGGCCTTTCTTTTTGCGGCCTCACCTGGCTGACGGTTTTTTGGAACGCGGCGAAGGGTTTTTTGAAAATAGAACTGGGTGTGGGTCAAGACTAACTCACCAGGAATTGGACCGCAGGTTTTGGTCGTTGCCACTTAGGGCAAGCCATTTTGGGGTTACCCGGTTTTTGACCCCACAGCCTGGGCCATGTTGCAACCTTTTGGGAGTGCGCTGAGTTTCAAGCCCTGATACTCCATAAGTCCTATGACAAATTTTTGGGAGATAGCTCACAAGGTCTGGAAGGACGTGGTTTTACGAGGGTCCACGTGGGTCTTGGGCGTTTCAAGACGTTTTTTTTTTTTTTCTTCTTTAAACCTGAATTCGTGATGCCATTACATCTTTCACACACAACGGATTGTGCCATTCACGTTAGGCTTTGGATGGCTGTGAGTCATTGCAATGCTTGACGTGTTTTCATTCAAAGTTTGACGTAGTGTTTGTTTTTTTGCCATTTGGTTATTGTTTTCGTGGCCGAGTGAGGAGGGGAGGACGAGGGGAGGAGCGGGGGGCTTGTCATGTCGAGCTGCTTATGCGCGAGGCATTTTGGCTCGAGCAGTAGCTGACGCGCTTGGCTTCTCCAGCCCGAGCCTTTTCCGAACCGCAATGCAGTTCCTAGGTGGGGCAATCCGCTGGCTAGGCGAATCGACCAGAGCCGAAGGTGTTCCCATTTGTTTCCATGCTTAGTTGTAGGCCGCATATTTTTTTTCCAGGGCTTTTGCATGGGCAAGTGAGAGGGAGACCTGGGAACATTTCTGAGGGTTGGGCGGATTTTCAGCAAAGCAAGGAGTTGAGGTTTGTTAGAGTCTCCGAAAGGTCCGAAAAGGTGCGGAGGCTGGACGACTCTGCTTACGCTTTTGGTATTTTCCAGAGTCCTTCCCCGTTCTTGGCACGCTTTTGCTTGTTTATGTTTTTTGGGTCTGTCTTTTTTTGGTCGGTTGGCTGCTGGAACCCATGTTTGCTCACACGCCAAGGGATTTCTTTTTTTCATCCATGGTTCCGGCTCGAACCTGAAGCTGGCTACGCTGATTTTGAATCCAGGCGGTTCGCTTGGATTCAGAAGCCAACGAACTGCACGGTTTTGGCAGGGAGCTCATGACTATGATTTACTACCGTGGATGGTTGCGAAATCCATTTCGCACCACTTTGAAACCATGGGATACGACTGTTCGTTGGCATATACCAGGGGAATCACCATTTCAGGGTTTCTTAAATGGTGCAGGATTTCGTCCATCCAGAGTATTGTGGCTGTTATCCATCGTAATTGTATCGTTGTGCTGCATTTCTGGCGGCGATTAACCGTGCATTTTGCGGTTCGGGATCGGGAGCTCGGCTCCCGCACCGCTAGTGGGCAGGCGTCTTGGCATGCGCCGCTGTTGCGGCGGCGACCAAGCAGCCGGGGGCGCCCAGTCGGCGGGTGCCCAGTCCATGCCGGGCTTTTGCCCAGATTTGTGACCTTGTTTCCCTTTCTTTTGGAGGTTGTTTTTGCTTTGACGGGCACTGGCACCTGGTTTCCCTGTAAAGTCAACTAGCAAGACAGAGAGCGCCCTTTGTTTGTTCATAGTGGCGCGCAAGTGTTTCGGGGGTCGGGGAAGTGCGGGCAAACATCAGGGCCAACGGTTGCGAGTGCTCAAATTTTTGCAACAAGAAGCTGAATGTGAAGTGTCCCTGATTGACAATTCCCCGACGTTTTCGACAGAGGGCAGTGAGCTGCAGTTAGGGAACTACCGGCAACTTCAGGTGAATCAACCGTGAAACATGAGGAGGAAGGTGTACTGCTTCCGAACCCAACGATGGTTTGGGCAAGCTCTTTTTGAGTTGCCGACATCCACCTCCAAAGATCCTTTGGGAGCACTCAATGGTGAATTTGCCTCGCTTGTGGCCGCCAAAGGCCTTATGCTCCCTTAAAGGCTCCCATAAAGCCCCCTAAGCCTTTGGGTCTTTGGGGGGATGGGTTCTCCAACTCCTAATCCTGGGTGTTGGTAGGGGCTTAGGTTGGTCCGCTTTACCAAAAGGAACAACACGTCATCAAGTTTCTTGAGGGTTTGTCAGCCCATTCCAATAAATCCAATACAATTGTTGAACGTTGTTAGAAATCATTGAAACTCATGTTTCGGGCGTTCCATGACGTTTCATGCGGTTGCTTCTGCTTCAAGCTGCGGTTTGGCTCTACGGAACACAAGTCAGCGTGCGACGCGCTAGTTGAACCGCAGTTGGTTTGGGGAGGGATCTTATATGTGGAAAGCACACACACACAGTGCCCGCAAAAGCCGGGGTGGACTCGCTCTGTTCCTTTGAATACTTTTTGTTTAGGCCTTCTCTTTCCTGTCTGCGTCCACCTAATCTGGCGTTTGGAGGCAATGTCCTTCTGTTTGTTTCCATTGCGAGGCTCATTGAATGTACATATGGCCATATATATATATATATTATAGATATACCAATATGTATTTTATGTCCTTTTGTATCCCGGCAGTGAGGGGACCACCGAATCAATCTTTCCATGTTGTGAGGTCCAGTCAGCATATCCAGCGGTCGACCGTGTCCATTTGGGAGGGACGAGAAGAGGGGCCAGGCAAAAAACATGCAACAAATACCAGGGGATGAGCCCTCATTTTTCCCATGTCCTTCTTTTTCTTTTTCCCCTCTTTGTCTCTCTTTTGCTCACTCTCTTTCTCTCTCTCTCTCTCTGTCTCAGTTCTCTGAGTCCTTCGATTTTCCACTGCGCCTGGCTTGCTTTTGGGAAAAGAGTCTGCAACAACTCGGACTCTAGGCAGAGCTCTGCCTGGCTTTTTGGCGCTCCTGTACCTGACTATTTGTTTCGTCCTGGCACACGGTCGATTCTGGTTGAGCGCCATCTCACAATCCACTAAAATTGGGTATTTCCTTTTTCTTAAAGGTCGATCATGCTGCTGGTGGTTGGAAGGGAGCCAAGGAGGGGAGGGTATCCGAACTTGCACTTTAAGAGGGAGCCTTCCATTTTTTGCGGGTGTTCCCTTTGGTTTCCCTAAAGTTTCCTTTTCTAGCCCCCAAAATTGAGTTGTTTTCCCTTTTGGTTTCCCTTTAAATGAACTCTAAAGCGTAAAAAAACGGCAGCCCAGCTCCCCCGGTTGTGCGCCTTTGATGATCCGCTAGGTCCAGGTTTATGGCGCCAAGCGGGGCCCCCGAAACGAAGACTCCGGGACGTGTCTCGTTTTCGGGGAATCGACTCGAATCGGGGTCCGAAGGGGTATGCGGTATGCGTTTGTTTGTGACGCTTTTGGAGGGTGGCCCCAGTGAGGTGTTTTTTCCTTTTTCTCTTCTGGTCTCCAAAATCCGGAGGATTTTTCGAGGTTTCAACGGGACAGCTTCAGGGGTTTAGGATTGATACCTGGAGAATCGATCAACTTGATGGTCCGGATTGGCCTCAATACTGTCCGTCTCCTTTAAAACCACACAAAACAGGGGTGTGGGATTCTGACGCCCTAGAATTTTTCAAGTTCCCAAGCACTGAATATCTGTCGAATAGGGGAACCCACGCAAATGGCGGGTGTCCTTCCAGTTTTCTTTTAAACCAACCCCGACCCCTTTGAAGGGTCAGAACAAGCCTTCCTGGTTCCTACGGAACTAACAAGGGTTTTGGATTGAGTCGGATCCCTCAAAGGAAGTGCAAAAGGGAGTTTGGGGTCATTCCAACTCCCTACTTCAGTATGTGGTTCTACCTGGCTTGATGGAGTTTACGGTCAGGCCTATATGAGTGAGTCATTTTTTGAGGGTACCCTTGTTTGGTGGGTTTGAAAAGGACACCAAAAGCACACCCGAAGCCATTTTTTGTTGATAGGTAATGGCATACTGACATGACAATTGGCTCAAGAAAAACAAGCTGCTGCCCGTGCTGACTTTTAGGTAGATCCCACCTTTCAACAGGTTATCAGCCGTATCGCTGGTACCTTGTACAGTCAGCTCTCACCCGCGCCGCAATGGCGTCAAGCGGCGACGGATGCCACCCTGCCATAGCAAGGATGAACGAAGCAGTGGCCAACGAATTGATCAAGGGTGGGCATCCGGAAGGGAAACCGCCATGCAATCCGTCACAGCGCTCCCGAAGCAGTTTTCCTGAGTCCGACCAAGGCGATGCGCTTGTGCCCATCACTTCGGTCGTCCTTCCGGAGGATTCAATGGGAAGCGGAGGGGAACCTCTCGCCGGACATCAACCTGGGCAAGAGATGCACGCGCACATGACTAAGAATGAGACTCACCTTCATCAACATCATGTGAGCGCCCCGAACATATATCAACATAGCCAGACGGTGAATGTGGTCAACACAGGTCCGAGTACGGAGGAAGTGGCTGCCTATGCTTCGGCACGCCACGACGCCATCATCAATCAGCTCCAAGCAGGCCATGTTGAGGAAAAAGGCCGACTCTATCAGGACGCGGTGAACCACATCAATGTATGCCAACAAGAGGCAATGGCGAAAGAAAGAGAGTTTAACGAGGCAAGACAGCAGTGGGTTGCTCAACGCTCAGAAGCTGAACAGAAGTATGAACGGCTCAAATTGATTTGGGAAGTCACCCACAACAAGCAGAAGGAGGATGCGGACAGGAACGCTGCTGAAATGAGGGAGATTATCATGAAGCAGTCGAGGGACATTGAGGCACTACGTCATGAACTGAAATCTCGCAGTGAGCAGAGTAGTTCTTCTAATGTCCCGATTTTCGGTCTGAGGCCAAAGGCCTCTCCTGTACAGACGTTTCCTCCCCCTGGCCTGGATCTTAGTTCTAAGGTACGTGTCAGGTCAGCTTCCACCGAACTCCGCCGTGACGGGCCAGGTGCCGCCGATGATCTTGACGGGGATGCCGGGGATTACGAACCGACATCTCCGGCACAGGACCTTAACGATGGTGGCGGATGTCCATCAGGCGCCGGGAATGGCCAAAGCGGAGGCGGTGGGGAACCACCTGCCGGTAATCCCGATGATGACGATGATCCTGACGACGACGATGACGATGGGAATGACGATGGGAAGAAGAGCAAGAAGGACAAGAAGAAGAAGAAGAAGAAGGATAAAAAGAAGAAGAGCAAGAAGGACAAGAAGAAGAAGAAGAAGAGCCACAAGAAGCGAAAGAGTGGGTCTCCTTCCGACTCTCCAAGCTCTTCATCATCCAGCTCCTCAACATCATCATCCTCATCATCATCATCGGAGAAGGCACGAGTGATCCGCAAGAAGCTTAACAAGATCTTGGGTAAGCAGGCGAGCGCAGTGGACGCAGACCATGACAAGCCCAAGGTCAAGGAGGCGGAGAGGATTGTTGTTCCATCCTTCCCACTTCCTGAGAGTTACAGGAATTGGCGCATCAAGGTGCGGGAAGCCGTATGTGCGGCATCCGACCGCCCCGATGACGCTTTCACGTGGATCAGCAGAGTGTGGGAGCCCGCCGTCACAATCGAGGAGCTCAAAGATCCCGGTGCCTTCCTCACATTGGACGCCAAGTTGCTGTCCGCCCTCACCAACATCATTCAGGGTGACCTGGCGAGACAAGTCGACACCTTCAAGGAGATAGAGGCGCAGAAGAGGAATCCAGTTCGTGGGAGACAAGTGCTTCTTATGGTGCATGAGCACCTGAGCACGAACATCAAGCACGGAGCCACCTATGCCATGGAGGATCTCCTCAACGTGAGGCTCGTGAACGATAACCTCACTTCCTTCATGCGTAGCTGGGAGGGTGTTCTTGCAGGAATGAATGCCAAGACGCCGGATGACTCCATGCTTGAGGCTCTGTTCTACAACCAGCTGAAAAAGAGCAAGCAAATGCAACACCATTTGAATGTCTATTTGAGCGCCTCGGAAGAGTCCGCCGATCACTCATACACCTACTTGATTGAATCTGTGAGGCAATACCTGTCTCGAGCAAGGCTCGAGCGCAACCGAGAACGGGTTGCTAGGCAGAACGGGGGTAGGCCAGCCGCACCCGCTGCTGAGAGCCAACGTGTGCCTAAGGGGTTTTGCATTGCATTTGTCAAGTATGGGTCGTGTCGGCGGGACAATTGCACGTACAAGCATGAACAGCCATCGGGCGATGCAAGGGGTAGGACCCCATCAAGAGACGCTAAGCCTAAGAAGGGTAAGGGTAAAGGCCGAACGAATAGCCCAAAGGGAAAGAAAGAGTGCCGATTCTACCCTAAGGGGAGATGTGACCGTGGTGAAAACTGCCCATTTGCTCACATCGATCCGAAGCCGGCCGTTCCAGGGTCAAGGGAGCCTTCCACAGACAAGCAAAAGAAGCAGGGAAAGGACCGGAAGCATCGCAAGTCGAGCAGGGATCGTTCCAAGTCGACCTCTCGATCCACTTCCCGTGACTCCAAGGGAGAGAAGAAGAAGGGTCACAAGGGAAAGTCTTCCGGAAAGCCTTCCCCTGCTGCTGTTTGTGTGTTGGGATGCTTGTTGTCCTCCATGATGAACGCCCCTATCGCTGAGGGGAACCTCATGTCGGACTGGAAGCATGTGCCTGCCCTCCCGAGCGTGCGTTTCAGCTCGAAGGTTGAAATGAATAGGATACCAGCACATGGTGAGCAGTTTAAGATCGCGGACAAACCGCGCGTGTATCCAAAGGTCTACCCAATCGACCATCAGTTTTCCCATGATGAGGTTAGCATAGATGATGCTAGACTCGAAGCAACCATGCTCGCTTTCATTGTGAGGCGTGAATTGGAAGGCCATCCGACTAGGTGCAACTATGAATGTGACAGTGAGATCGGATGCTGGCAATGCGCCCCGAGAGACATGGGCGCAAAGCCCGCCTTGGCGAGCAAGAGATTCTCTCCGAACTGTTCATGGATTATTGACACTGGGAGCGGGACTGATCTTTTTACACGCGCAAATTGCCCCGAATATGCAATTTATAATTCAAATGATCCCGTGATGTTGATGACTGCCAATGGACCAAGTGATTCGTCAAAGCAGGCCAACATGGCCGCAGGTGACCTTGGGAACACGGATCCATATTTGTTGCCACAAACACCCTCTGTTCTCTCCGTAGGTTTGAAGTGCATGAATCAGGGTTATGACTTCATATGGCATGCAAAAGAGAAGCCATTCTTTGTCAAGCCTGATGGGACGAGAATTTATCTCAAAGTTCGAGATTATGTCCCGTACTACGACGTGTGGGATGGCGACTCAGCAATGGCGTGTCCCGCCAAAGGCACACCGCCAAGCCGACCGGAAGGTCAGGTCGCCAGAAGCAATGCACCTAGTGAATCATCACACTCCTCCTCCGTGCAAACCGAAGATGCCGCGGAAGAAGAGTATACGCCTAGCATTGCCCCTCTAGAAGATCCTGAGGTGCATGCTAGAGTTGTCGCCGAGCTTCTGGCGAATGACCCCGTTGAAGTCATTCCAGATGAACCTGCTGAGCCGATGGAGAGTAAAGATTTGGCAGGGGAAGATGTTGTTGGCAACCTCGATAAGAAAAGTCCTAGGTCACTTGCAGAAGGCGCCCTTAGGCAGGAAGCAGCATCACGAAAGCACCTGATGACACACCAGCCAAAGAATCCATTCTGCGAAGTGTGCAAATGCGCGAAGATGACCAAGTCTCCCTCTCGCTCGCGGGGGGGATCCAGACAGGTTGATGCTCGAAAATTTGCTGAGCACATCACAGCCGATTTCATAATCACTGCGGATGAACAGGAGCTGGGCATAGACGATGAATACTCTGCCCTTGTCATAAGTGACGTTGCCACCGGTTTCAAATATGCATACCCTTTTGCTAAAAGAAACACGGAAGCAACTGTGAAGGCGTTTCAGCACTTCACTTCCTCGTCGGACGAGGTTGGCACATTTTATAGTGATAATGCCCCTGAGTTAATTGCTGCAGCTGAACAGATGGGCTGGAGACATGTCCTCAGTCAAGAGTACATTCACAAAACCAACGCGGTGGCTGAACGGAGCATCAGAACCGTGCTCGAGGGAACTCGAGTCGCACTTGCACAGGCCGGGTTGAATCATTCATACTGGCCGCACGCCGCAAGGCACTGGTGTTTATCTCAAAATGTGTGTGAACCACCTTCTGGTTCCAGAACACCGTGGAATCTTAGGTTCGAAGAAGAGTTCAAAGGGCAGTTCTTGCCGTTCGGATGTCGAATTGACTACTGGATTGGTCCAAGACAGAAACCGAA